TTCTTTGGCCTTCCACATTACTTTTTTTTTTTTTCTTAGATGCATCATACATGCCAAGTATCCTCTTAGCTGAGGTAGAACAATGTAAACAGACTGTCTCCGCAAATATAAAGTAATCTTTTTAGGTTTTCCACACACTCGTTTAACTGATTAGAGGACACTCATTAAAATCAGCTAATCATGTAATGTGGCTGTGTTCTGAATGCTAAACAAAATGTCTAAATGAAAGAGGATTTTAAAACATTGTCTGCCTCTCTTAATTTATTTCTACTGTATACTCAATGGCACACAATACAGTAGGAATGCTAGGCCCTATCCTCATTAACCTCAAAACTCATTATCTCATATAAAATCCAGCCTTTTACATAGAGTGTATTGGAAAAGGTATGGAAAAGGATATGAAAGACAATGTCTTTAGGGATAGATTCTTGGAACACTACAAAGGATTTCACTTCGAACTGTGATGCTAATATAAAACAGCACAAAATCGCAAGTATCATGCTATGCTGAAACAACACTTGCAGAATTTGGATACAGTAGCTATCATTATGTCTTTCACTGTCATTTCATTAACTATCCAAGACTGCCCAGAGAAGTTGTGGATGCTCCATCCCCAAAGGCATTCAAGGCCAGGCTGGATGTGGCTCTGGACAGCCTGGTCTGGTGGTTGATGACCCTGCACATAGCAGGGGGGTTGAAACTAGATGATCTTTGAGGTCCTTTTCAACTCAGGCCATCCTATGATTCTGTGATCCAGGTTTTCGTGGGCACACAAGCAGAACTCATTTAATACATAGAGTCCTCTAAAGGCCAAATACGGGAGTCAAGGCTGCACTCTTCTGCTACCACCACCTAGCCAGTAAATTATCAGAGAAGCATTACCCAAATGAGGTGTTCAAATCAGCTACCATCCCCACTCTGGTACTGGCACTAGGGATGGGGCTTCCTGTGACACTGTGATGCTGTGCAGTAGAGTCCTTACCTCTGAATACCCACAGCTCAGCCACCATTGCTTTGGCAAACACAGACATCGCTCAGCCAAGGCCCTTCACGCAGCCGTGGCACCCTGTCATCGGGTGGGGCTGAGGTCACCACAGGCTGGAGATTTATGCTTGGGAGGGATGGGCATACTTGTTGGCTTTCGGATGTGAACCTTCAGCCTCCTCGTACACAAAACGCCCAGGTCTTTGAGTCCCGCCATGTAACATGGAAGAAGCAGAGCATTCGAGGGGCCTCGTCCAGGCACGCAGGGGCGGTAGGTCTGATGCCCTCCTGGGGCCGTTCTCCAGCAGAACCACCTCCATGCACGAAGGAAGCTTGTCGCCGGGGAAGGGGGAACGGCTTGCTTTTGCTTTTGTTGAAAACCGTTTTTTGTCTAAGCGCTGGGAGAGACGCAGCCGATGCGCGATTCCCCCCGCCCCTTCCCCGCGCGCTGGGTGCGGAGCTGGAGAAGCCCGCAGCGCTTCCGCAGGGCCGGGGCCCCGCTCCCCATCGGCGGGGCGCTGGGAAGGGGCCGGGGGGCCCCGCTTTGTGGCCGCCCGCCGGCCCCGCCGTGGTCGGAAGCGCCAGGGTAATCCGGGGAGCCCTCCGCAGCGAGTGGGTGGTCCGCGGGGACGAGGCACGGGCTCGGCGCTGCCCGGCCGCTGGCCTGAGCCAGCTCCTGCAGCTGGGCCGAAGGCGGCCGCAGACCGCTCTCGGCACATTTCTTCATTTCTCACTTGAGTGCCCTTCTTTAGTTCCCTTTCAACTGCCCACTTTATATCGGCTTCATTACACCACCGCTCCATTTGTAATGTAAATCGGGAAACTCAGGGAAGTTTTTCTTTTGGCCTTGTCTACGGAAGAATACCGAGAGGTATTCAAAACGTATTAACACAAATCAATGGCACCAATAAAAGCAAAATCTCCTTAGCAACATAATCTTGATTGCAAAAGGAGAACTGAGAGCATTTAGCAGAACAGTGGCCCACATGGAATACGCATTTGTCTAGAAGAATGCAGCACAAAGCCTAAAAGAGAGATGCTGAAAAAATCCAAAATTAACTCACACCGAACAGTTACTCTTTTTTTCAAAAGTACACAATTGGCTACATTAAATCTATCGTGCGCTTTTCTGCTCAGCAACATTGTATCATACCGCTTTGCAAGGCGAAATTACAACACGGAATGCTTCACAGCCCCTGGCCGAGCACCCTCCCGCACGCACTGGGTCTGATGCGCGCTGTGTTGGCGCAGACACGCAGATGAATCACACACACACACATCACACATGCACGGTACGAGGAAGCTGCTAAGATTTCTACACTCGAATAACCCAAGAGCTGTAAAGTGTTCCACACGCAGGAGAAAAAACTAGCTCCTTGTACACCACACTGAGCAGCACACCCCCGGGAGCACAGGATGCGTCCTGTTCGCTGGGTTCAGGTCTGCCTGCATCTCGTGTCGGAGCCCTACTCATACTGGAATTACATGGATGGAGTGATTCCCTTGTGAATAAACGGTGTGTGCCTTAACGAGATGGGAAGTACATATGGAAAAAACTAGCACATTAAAAGTGAAGCAAACGGCTTCAACATTATCACCCAACCATAAGGTAACATACACAACTGAGCTTATTGGCATTAGGATGTGAAAAGCTTGAGTAACTCCAAACACAGACTTGATGCGAGCCTGAAAATTTTAAGACAGGCAATTCTCTAAGTTTGGTGACTCTTGGACTACAATTAAATTTCCGTTTTCCTTTCTCATTCCCCCCCCCCTTCCAATCCATCCAAACATTGACTAGAAATGAGGAGAGAACGCTGTGTAAATTTTTGAGGTATTTCGTTCTTTTTTCTTATTCTTTCCCCTCCCTCCAAAATACTACATAGGCAAAAAATAGTAAGGCTTAGCAGATAAGTTAACAAACATTTTATTAGTTTGTAATACAGACAACTTAAGAAATACTTTAAAAAAATCATATTGGAGTCCATTCCAATTCTGGGTCAGGTCAGGAAAAAACAATGCTGATGTATTAAATAACGTTCTATAATTCAACAATAGATTAATCGTAATTCAGTAATTTAGCAGTCGTGGTTAAATATTCTTAAATACGTGTATTTACAATTGTGCAGCCTTAAAAAAGAAGTCCCTTTCTTCCTATCTTCTCTCCCCAAAGCCCTGTGCCCTGTGAACACAGTGCTGGCCTCCAAGCTTTCAGACTCTCATCCAGACTTAAAATATTTGAAGAGGAATGTTACAGTAGCAAAAAAATCACAGCAACCCTATCTTCCTAAACTCTTCATTAAAGGGAATCCTCTGAAGGCTTTATCATCGAGTCCATATAAATAGCAGCTTCTTAATATCCAGTTCTATGTTAAATTATTGCTTATGCATTTTCTGCTTCATAGATCTAGCATAGATGCAAAATATTTATTTTATTTAAAAGTTTGCCATCTTGAAAGCTACCACCCCTTAAGTGACTCACTTTCTGCTACTGCTTTTTATGTTTAAGAAGTTCTTCCTAAGCACAGTCCGTGACCTTTTAAAACAAAATGAATTACATTGGGCTAGCACACAACATTTAGGCACCATTTTCTAGTTTACTGTTCTTTTTGTGTTTGGAATTAGTTGTGTATTCTCTTTGCCATATTCAGTCTCCTATAGAAAGAATCAAGTTACACTTTCCAAATCTCTAACTGCCCTGCATTCCTCATTACCTCACTGAACCAAACCACTCATGGGCAAAACTATCACACAGTTAACACACTGAATATCCCAACAAGTTAGAAAGCCTGTTGCAAGCACAGAGGAGCAGAGATGTTTACAGTTGATGAGTGAGACGTGTGCACTGGTACAGTTAAATCAGTTTAAACAGAGCCACTAAAAATATCAGTTATATTGCATCTGGATATCTGACTTCAGTTTAATTTCTAAGCATGATCATAAAAAATGGATTCACAAACCTAAAGCACTGTAACAGAAAAAAAAATAATCAGTTAATTACTAAGCCTAGTTTCCAGCATGAGGCAAAGAAACTATCAATGATGTAAACGAGAAAAAAAAAGCGTGTTTCAACAGAGCATTGAAGATCCGCCCTCCAAAAATGAGGATTTGTTAATGGTTCCCTTCTCCACAGAACTAAAAAATAACTACAAATGTCTCTTTTAGTTACCTGAACTTAAGCTATCCTAACTGGATGCCACTCCTGGACTCAGATATGCTGTCACATGACAGGAGCTGCCTGGGCAAGAAAAGAATTTTCTTTGGGAACAATCAGCCGTGCATTACAGGCCCCAGCCTAGGAAAAGACTGGTCTGTAATCTGTGCAGCTCTCAGTGATTCCTTTTTGGTCTGGATATTTTCAATTGAAAGATGCTGAGTTACAAAGCACACTTATCTCCCTATCTGTATAACTTGTTATAACAAAACTACAGTAGAAATGAAGACACTCCATATAATTACTGAAACAGACTCTTAGCCTTCACTTAACTTTCATTATTTAATATCATTTCATATGATTCAAAACTGTTTTCCAATACACAGAAAATTTCAAACTTAAACCTCGAGTTCATTCTTTCATGTGTTGCTCCTTCTAATTTCTGTTTCACTAAATTTCTCCTAATGGTCTGTTGTATTTTCAAGAGTCAAGCACTTATTAATCTCTTTTGAGATTATAAATTTTAATGAAATATTAACGAGCTAATTGAAACAGAAAGTTTTAAATAAATATAACATTTGGTTAATAAGAGATGTATTATCCAAATGCCACGTGATAGAGATGCACACATCAGAACAAGTGTCAAGAAACAGTTTCATATAAGGACTCATTTAAAAATTTGCAATGCTGACTGAAACACCATTGTGAAATAAGTTTAAAAAATATATATATATCAATGAACTACAAAACACTGTTACCAACAAAACAACCTGAATGGAAATCTGTAACAAATCTGTAACAAAGAACAAATGCAGGAGGTTTTGTTTTTT